GCCCTCCTTATTTTAATGTTTGGCATTTGGCACATAACTCTAGTGCACTACAGGTAGTTCCAAGCTAACCTCAAGCTTTCTTGTAAGTTCTGTGCTGTTCTTCAACAGTTCACACCAACTTTTGAAGACTTTACTTGTTCACTTCCCACCACAGCTGGTGAGTCTTAATATGAGAATCAAACTTCTCAATAATATTGATTAATAACTGCGTTCAGGGATGACAAGGTTTCTGGGGTTAGCTTTGTACTGTAATGTATAAGTTTGGTGATTATAAATGTAGTTTTTCTTAGCTATGCACCATCTTTAAAAAGGAACAGGAAATCAGAATGAACTGTTTTCAAAATCTATCATTGGTTAATTCTTGTGCTTATCAGCAATCACAGGTGAGTCTAATTATACTGCAAATGAGATTATAGCTCATCTAATCAAACTGATTTATTTCAAAGGGTGCCAATGACTGTGTCATGCCTGCTTTTCGTTTTATTTATTTATTTATTTTTACCATTTCCACACATTTCCAATTCTATCGTTATTTTTTTCTAAAAAATAATTCTTATGATATTGTACATCATATGCTAAACACAGTAGCAATAATGTTGATCTATACTGTGTCTGTTTCCATATGTTTCATGTATAGAATCACTACTATAAGCAATCAACTATTGTGCAGCTGACACGTTTAGTTAATTGTTCAGAGTGCATAGTCTTCAGTAAACATACACCGTTTGGAGAAATGTGTTCTGGACCACTTCTTCACCCTCAATCAAAAATGACTGTCAGTAACCCTACAGGTACACTTTAAAGATATAATACCATTTTAAAAATGTATCTGTAAACCACACTTTTTCTTGAACACACACACAGTCAACTTTTATGTTCCTTAGAGGATATATACATGTATTTATTATTTAATAGAAGCCTTTGTCATGTAACTGATAATCAAAGAGCAGGGTCAGCCAGTCTCCCTATACCATTGTGGTTAAAGGTAACAGTGACATCACTCTGCCAGCCACAGGATTTGAACCAATGACCCAGCCTATAACCCATAGTGTCACACCATCTACAGGGAAAGAAAAAACAGGAAAAGAAGGAAAAGGAAAAAAAAGCTTATTTATCAAACTTGACACAACATTAGGGTGGTCAGGATTTTACTTCTAAGTTTTTATTTTATAATTTATATATGATAATTAAACAATTGTACAGTGCATAATTGGTGAAAATTGGTAGTGATATAAAAACTTTTTTAAAATGTTATTTGTTTAAATTTTATTCATTCAGTATTTATTTAAGTAGCCATTCATTTGTTTGGCTCTTTATTGGATTATTGTGCTAGAAAACAAAAATTTTCCCTCTAAGGGTAAATAAAGTTTTGTATTAGTTTATGTTATAATCATGCTATGCTATAAATATGGTCTCTAGGGGGCGCTAAAATCCATTTTATATTGCACAACCTCCAAATGGTACTAATTAAATATATATGAACAGTAACAAGCAAGTACATCTATAGTCATGTACAAGGTTGCTATACTAAAAACAAAATTGCTGTATATCCTATGGCTGCTATCACTTGGCAGGATTTTGGAGGGGGATGATACTAAATGTCTTTTATCAGAAACTTTGTGCAAATTAGCCAACAGGGGGTGCCATAAGCACTTATCTAGTTTTAAAATGATCACATATATATAAAAAAAATGTTTTATGTATAACCTAATGAGAATTAAATGTTAATTAATCAAATATAATGTGAGTTTAATAAATGTAATTTACTGTGATATTTGATAATTCATATGTGCACGTCACTAGCCGTATTCTAGCTGCGAATTTTCTTTTGTTTGTGAAAAATCATCAAGTATATAACCTAAATTTACAAAATATATTCCACAAAATACCCTATTATTAATGTCCAACAAACAACAAATTGAACAAATTCAAACAAAACATTCCATATACTCAAGTTATATATTGAAGATAAATTTGCATTGCAGTTGCTTGACATAACACACTTTTCCTTTGTGTGTTTGTTCTCTATATGAAAGGAAATCATTCCCTTTGGAGGCCAAATCATTTAATTCAAAAATGAAATCTACACCTTCATATATTAAAGTAATTACTGCATTGTGTGTATACATAGTAATATTATATACTTCTATATTACTATTACTATTACAGGAATTATTATTACTATAATAATTCCTGAAGGGTAATCTGATAAAATAAAATTTTGAAATATAGCCTTTTCCCTCAAGAACAAAAGTGACAACATTTCTGACACTACATAAAGCAAGAGAGATGCATTCTGGGTGTTGAAATTAGCCAGGCACCCATGTGACAGGGTGCAACCTACTTAAATCTCTAAAGACAATGTAATACAATGAGGTAATTCCTTTTTCAGGAGGTGGCCTTCTGGGTCCAAGCATAACATGTGACAAGGGTGAAAACAATGAACTATCTCTTTTATTTCACTTTTTTTCATCATAACATTTTTTCATGTTTAATATGCTACTTCATGGCTGCATTTTAGATCTAAAATTCAAATTGTTATGCATTTTACAAAATATTTTTTTTTGTTTGCAGGTGCAGGACAAAATATTTTATGCAGCTTTGTAAAATTGACACAAATATACATGTGAACATATATTCATTCCATATGTCTATGTTTTGAATTGTGGTCTGCTGTATCTACCCTGTATCATACTCTTTCTCCTTTGTAATGTCAGCAGGTGATTGGTGAGAGAGCTGGAGTGGGCCACACCCATACTGGTGTGTGGCCACTTTTACATTTATTTTTACATGCAGCCTAAAATGACATATGAATTCCTTATTACTGATTCAAAAATATATTGCTCATTGCCAGATAAAATCTTTAGGAAATTATTCAAAGAAAAAAAAAAAGAACACATTTTTATTTTTAATTATTGTCACTAAGAAACATATGAACTGTGTCCAGAGGAGTTATAATTTTATCCCAACAAGGAAAGCATTAACTAGTTAGCCTAATTGAAAGTAAAATAAGTAAAAGCCTGCTTTATAATTTTTTTCAAATATTTGTTTTTCCTCACAAAAAAAATTTGAGATATTTTCTGTTTTATTAAACAATACACAGTATTAGTTTATTGATTATGGCCTCAATTTATGCATTGTGTGCTCTGCATTAAATTCATGGTATCACTCTGGATTTATAATGTGACAAAAATGAGAGGGAATACTCCCAGTAGGGAGAAGGGATGCAGTTTGCAGTTAATGCCCATACGTTCTCAGCTTGACTGGGCTCTTGCCGAATGAGTCTGCACTGTCTCTACCACACCCTTTCTCTGAGCTTGCTTCTGCAGAAGAAGAAATTCAGATGGATATTACACTTCCGGAAGCAGCGTTTTAAATTTTTTTTTATAAATGTCTTATCAAAGGTACTTCTAAATATCGCAGCATGTTATTCTTATATTTTTAACACTTACAATAAAATATTTCTGGTTCAGGAATATTATCCTTGCCGTTCCTTACTAAATGTCTAATGTTACTTCAACAAAAGCAGCACAGTTATACCAAGCACCCTTTTAGACCACAATAATGTGCAACTATGCATTTTTTATTCAAAAATCAAAGCAAGCAAAGCAATATTTTCTAGATCAGAACTGGAAGCCTGCACACGAGTAACATAATGGATAAATATGACATCTTTTCCACACATTTTATGAGCTCACCCAAAGAGATTATTTAAAAATACATCCAATAAACATTGTTGAAACACAACAACATATATTGAATATGAGAACAAAAAAAGTATCATCAATAAAATGCAGTGCCGTCTGGTCATGTTCTGATGAGATATGTATTGGCTGCACAGTGATGCAGTGCTAACACAGAAAACGATGCCTCACCCATCCTCATAAAAATCTGGAAATGACTCATACTAGGTTACATCTAAGCGAGAAAGCAGGTATCCTGATGGCTTTGGCCATTGTTTTATGATATTTAGAAATAATTTAAGGCAGTAGACATAAAATAGAACCAAGGCAATCAGTAATACTAGTTTTCTAATCAGGAAAACCCCAATAATTAATCTAAGTAAAGCAGACAGCAAACGCTACATAACTCTTATAACACTCACTGACACAATCTTCTAAGACACGCCCTGATGCTTAGAAAAAAAAATGTTTGAAGTGCCTGAGCATCCTTTAGATTTGAATGATGACCAACTGGAAAGTGTGTACTCCGTAACATCTGTAGGCACAATAAAGTTATCCCAGGTGATGAGACCCATTTCAAAACCTAAAACAGTAATAATCCCTTCAAGACAATAATTCTTTTCTTTTTTTTTTCTTTTTTTTCTCCTGAGACTGCTCAGCTTGTTGCCAGAGGAACCATAGTTTGATCTGATTCCTCCCTTTTTTTTACAAGATCCTACTTAATGTGACCAGTAATCTTATTATTGTTTTATCACTGAATTATATTATAATTATCATCATAATTTTTAATAATAATAAAAAGAATAAGTAAAATACTAATAATAATCAAACTTTTGAGCACAATATCTCAGTGCCTGTCTACAGTATTACAAGAGTATGAGTATATCAGCAAGCGTGCCTAAGCCGGCTACACCCTGAATACTGGCCACCCCATACTTTTCATTTTTACGCATGTATTGCACTTGATTTTAGAAGAGCTCCTTCATAAGGATGGATGGCATATGTATGAAAAAGCACGGACACTCACAAAACATTGCAGGCATCATTAAAACGGTGAAAATCACAAAAGAGGGCTAGCTGTATGCTGCTTGTCAAAACGTGTTCATTATCATAATTAAATGAGCTAAGGTGTGTCAGCTATAGAACACTACACCCAATGGAAATTACAGTAGAATAAAACAGTGAATAACCATGTCTAATCTCATTCAAGCCTTTTCACACACAATGAAATGCATAATACAATGATGGACGTATTACAATGATGGGAAAAATGAAAAGAAATATATAATAGAATATATAATAGAATGAGACAATTACCGGTTTTGTTCTTCTAATGCAGCACAGCATGACTATAGTATCCTCTTTCTTTTTTCCCCTTTTCTTCGTTCCTCGTTTTCTTTTTAATTCTTCCTCTCCCGCTCTCTCTTTCCCTTCCTCAATCGCACGCTCACACACACACACACACACACTGGCTGTATCAGCAGCTGAGATGCCTAATGCTTTTACTCATCACAATTTGCACACACGCTCACAAAATCCGCCTGGCCGCACCTCACCGTGACTTACTGGCTTACAATGACTGCAAGTCCACCCTCAAGCCTCCTCCCCCTCCCTACACCCGCTACCCCTCCTTCTGGCTGAAATAAACCCACCCACCTCCCCCCTCCTCTATCTCCTCAGTCCTCACAGTAGCTTCCACAAGCAGCAGCCATAACCCCACCCTGCCTTGTTCCCCTTATGAATGATTGAATACCTCCAATCTGGCCACAGAGAATACCAATTTTGTAGGCTTCCCTTTTCTTCCTCGCTGGGTGTTGGCCCAGCTGAACGAATTCTTAAAGGAAAAACATTTCCATGATTATTTTCTTATAATTCACATGCATCAGCACCTACTTACAGTGAAAAAAGAATCAAAACTACACACAGACTCACAAACACACACACTTATAAATAATGGTGTCACTTTTTATTACTTTAATAGCAGACCTTCAAGACATTAATAAATCAGTAAATAGAGCAAATACCCAAAGCACAAGGGTAAAGTACTTCATTGTCTAGAACAAATGTAAATTGGCTCAATTTAGTGCTCATATTAAATCAGCATCCTTGCACATATGGAGATACGTACAGATTCTTAGAAGCTAAACAGGGTGTGGCCAGGAAGTCATCTCTCTGTGCTGGTCTCCCTCTGGGTTTTTACTGCCTGTACCATGATAGTCAGGCACAACAGAAGCCCCCACCCCCTGCTCAGTGAGAAAAAAAAAAAAACATGCCCATATAACAGGGATTGCACCATCTAAGCCATTCTTTCCCACTGTACTGGAATATATTTTAGCCTGGAATAATTTTTCCTTAAAATTATTGTTTTAGCAGAGCGAATTAAATTTGTGATTGATAATGATCATTTACATAGCCAATATATGGTTTTTATTGCAGAAGTCAGAAATAGCTATTAATATGTATATAAAATATTGTATAAGAATAGCATGTTAAAATCAAATAAATATATACAACATTTATATTTTATAGTAATATTTATATTTAATATTTCTTAAAATTTCTAATAGTTGGAATAAATGTAAGGACTGGACTCCATTACACTACATCTTCATTTATTTACGGTTTATGAGGCAAATAGTAAATTTCTAACAAGCTTACTCCAAACCCATTTTTACACTTATTTTTGTTGAAATCTCACTATTGTGATGGAAATGTATTTTTAATAAAGTTATCTTTCCCAGCTTTTAAATTCATCATAGCATCCATAATACTTTTTTTTCCTCCCCTAATTTCCCCATCCCAACATCGCTTGACTTATTTCAATAAACTCTTTGATTTGGAGCTACACATACTTTTAAAACACCATTCTTAGATAATTCTCAGTTGATGTAAAATGGTTGCTATTATTTCTTTCCGAAACTAAATACTGGGTGTTTTGTGGGCAGTAGTGTCCCCCTAGAAGTAAACCCCCCATTTTACAGTATGGTCTCTTTGCCTTTCTACTAATGCAAAACATCAGAAATTCTTTTCTATTTAAATAAATGCGTGGAAACATCCCCAACCCCTTAACTGTTGCATCCATTGGTAACCAAACCTAGACCAAATGATACTGTATATTCAATGGATCCCACATATTGTTGCCTTAATTGAATGATTCTGGATTGTATTTGGACACAGCTTTTTAGACGAACTCACAAAGATGATTGGCTTGAGAAGTCAACGGATGTACAGATAATCACCTAATCTCAAAACTGAACTTGCCTAAGATGGATTGTGATCAGGATACAAGAACAGCCTTTTTATCTCTGTGTGAAATGTCAGATATCATACTAGCGACCTGTTGGATGTAGCCTAGAGCTGGTAGTAGCCCCAGAAAAAGCTTTGTAGTTAATGAATTAGATGCTGTATGTGTATTCTCATATCGATCAAGTGGAATGGATTCTTTCACAAAGCAATAGAAACAACGCTGGGTGAACTAATATTTTATGTTAAATGTCGGGGGGTCCAAACGAATAATTATGAAATGTGAGGGGGAAACGTTCCCCTCAGATTTAATGGTGGCGATGCCCATGACTGTATTCCATAACACAATCTTCCTGCCTGCCACAGGCTTGAAGAGATCAATGTTATGAACTAGGAGAGGAATGATAAATCAAATGTCAGGATTAGGAGACAAGAAGAAACCAGAGAAGGGCAGAGTTTTGGAGAAAAAGGATACTCCTTAAGGGCAAGTGACAAAATGGTTCTCCACCAAATGGACAGCTGAAAGTCTGATGGCTGAGCTGAGTTTAGGTAGGTAGGCCGAAAATGCTCTCCTCAGGCAACATGTATTCTACGACATTACGAGTTGAACGGATTGCTAGGGACAGTCACCATATACAGGGGTTTTGGAGTATCTGGCCAAAGATAGAGGGTTGTTTGACGATGGTGCAGGTGAGTCTTCAAAGCCTCTTCCTGTGACCCTTGTCCAAGATGGACACTCTTAGCTGGGGATGACCAAATGAAGCTTCATGAACCAATCGCTGTATTTTCTGACAACACTAGATGGTGCTCTCTATTCAGAAAAGGGCTTAATTCATGCCCCAAAGCAAACCAAGAACCCCATCAAGTGGGGTTAAAAATACAGAAGATGGTTGATGAAGCTTCATTTGGCCATCACAACTCTTAGCCACAGCACTTTGTTCAGACTTCTCCTGAAACACTCCCAAGCTGTTTTCAGGTTCCAATTTTGGAATCGAGAAGTATGCAAGGGTGGCATACAACCTGCAGAGTAGCTTCTGTCAGATAACTTTATCATTCACAGTAATTTAAGTATGGTTTTTTGCTTGTTAGGGCCACACCAGTTAGGAAACAGGAGGATAAGGCAGACATGGAGAGTTGGATATGACATTAGCTTTGCTCAAAACCACTTAATTCATTTTCTCCATCTGGACACAGAACCAGAGATTTCCAATACTAGGTATTACCCCAGGCGACAGTTTAATAAAAAATTTAAGCGAATTGAGTAGCAGCACATATGAGCTGGTCAGGAGGCAGCAGAACCCTTGAGGCAGTTAGCTTCCCAGTTGTCAAGGTTTGAGGGCAGGGAGGATATAAGCGACTTCTTCTACCTTGACCTTCTCCCCAGCGCAGGCTTTAATCTGCACCAGGGAAAAGAGTCCTGCCTGGTTGGGACAATAAGTGGCCACCAGCCACACTCTATCCATGAGACCATGACCATGAGAAAACCATGATTACCTTTCATTTGTATGGTGCTGATCTCCGCCTGCTGGTCTATGGCCGATCCCTGGCAGAACACTGCATTAGACCATATAAACAACAAATGTGAGTTGAATAATGTGATAAAACTTTTCTTTTGAAAACATTACATTATATTCATTATATTAATTTAAATATTGACCAATGGTAACCAATTCTATGCATGAATTTAGTTGGATTCTAATGGATATAGTGCCATGGCGCTGTGTGTGGAGTTTGCATATTCTCCCCGTGTCCTCCAGGTACTCTGGTTTTCCCCCATGGTCCAAAAACAAGTTGATTTGTAGTTACCAAATTTCCTGTAGGTTTGACTGGTGACTGTGCCCTGTGACGGGTTGGTGCCCCATCCTGGGTTGTTCCCTGCCTTGTGCCCTGTGAGGGGTTGGTGCCCCATCCTGGGTTGTTCCCTGCCTTGTGCCCTGTGATGNCTGCCTTGTGCCCTGTGATGGGTTGGTGCCCCATCCTGGGTTGTTCCCTGCCTTGTGCCTATAGCCTCCAGGACAGGCTCTGGACCCCCCACAACCCTGACTAGGACAAATGGTTATGGAAAATTAATGGATGGATGGATGGTTGGATCATATGAGGTACATGTTGCTAAGAGGTACAAATAAAATAGTAATCCCAAATCATGTTCATATACAGAAATATTTTACATAATTTTTGAGATATATTACTCCAGATGCTTATGGTAACTGTGCCATGGAGCCAAAAGCGGGAGATTAGGTGGTGGAAATTCAGTGTGTATTAAAGACTAGGCAGTGTTATAGTCCTGGATTTGCAGTCTTTATGTTGGATGACATACAGAGGTTCAGATATGAAGTATCACTGAAACTCTTCTGGTTTTTATCATCAAATAACCTCAGATGTATGAATCCATTCCTTGGTATCTCCTTGCTCTTCAGCAACTACAGCTCCAACATCACCCTTCTCCTTAACATGTTTCCTAGCAACAACAACAGACCAATGTCCTCTCCTCCCTGTGCGCTGTAATGATGGAATCTCCAAATAGGGTGCTCACAGATCTGTTACTCCATCCTTGTCATGGTTAAGGTCATCTGACCGTTAGTTTATTTCATAGATAAGATTTGTCTTACACATTCATTGATTTTGCAACCACAGAAGCAATAGAAAAATGCAAAGCATATAATGCAAGTTGATTGTCACGTTTGAGGTTTCCTTTACCAACAATGTGGTGGCCATAAAAGGCATATTCAACAAGCATAACATTTATTGCAACAGAACTGTGTACAGGAATGTGATCGGAACGGATGAGTTTTGCATTTGCTGTGGGGGCTGCTAGCCTGATGCAGAATGTGAATAAGGGAAGTTTGGAAGCTCTTACTAGAAATTAAATACATGGACATATTATTGTTACACGCAGGGGTCCTGCTAGAGATTTTGGACCCCTGTCACTCAGGGGCCCTTGGAATCATCCTAACTCCCCCCCACCCCCTTTACGGCGTCCCTTCCTGTATGTACCTCTCTACTCTGGATTTGTAGATAATATACAACACCTCCTCTCATTTTTTAAACCTACAAACGTCAATGCAATGGGATATATTTCTTTTATATTCTTTTCTATTTATTTTAGCTCTTTTCATGACATGGGTCTTGAAGTTCTCAGTTAAAATATGTTTTATTGACTTCAGTCATAAGATCATAAGACAGGATACCCTGAGCTGAAGTACAGCTACAGTACCCAAGACCTCAAACTAGGAAGCAATATGCTAGATAACAAAAACCATGTGACCACAGACCCGATATCGGCCAACCAAAACCATGAAACCAGAAACAGAGTTCCATCAAGCAGAGCTGCAAAACTGAAAATAAGAAGCTCATAGAAGG